ACTCTTTCTGAGTCTGATTTATCTCAAAGAGGAGGTTCTTTCACCTAAACGTCAGTTTTCAAGTTTACAGAGGACAATTTCACCTACATTGCTCATAACAATACTAACAAAACGTTTGAAGAAGAAATGTATTCCAGCTACTAGTTTTCCATTAAAAAAAATATTTGTGCTTCCAAATATTACGTGGGTCCAAACTTCTATGGACCGCTGATCGTGGTCCAAATGATAAACAAGGGAAGAAACTGATTTAAATAAGTCACAGAATAGTTAATATGCCTGGGGAGTTGATTACTTAGGACAGGATTGGCAAACTATGGCCCTTGACCCTTAAGCTAAAAATGGTTTTAAAATTTTTTAAAGAGTTGTTAAAAACAAGGGAACAAGCCAGCAAGAAATGTGACGACTCTACTGTGGTCTACAATGCCTAAAATAGTTCCGATCTGGCCCTTCACAGAAGAAAGCTGGATTGGATAAACAGGGCATTACTATACATTTTCTCTAAAAGGAATAATCACACTAAAATAAACTTCTTCCTTTAGGAAGAGTAGTCCAGAAAACAACCACCAAGTAAACTGAGAGTATTTTAACAATCGAGGTGTGAGAGGTTTCATTATTTCAATAACCACTTACTATCAAAAATGTGCCAAACTCCATGCTAGACTCCAGTAATAGTGATAAATTAAAAGGGAGGGATTTACAGCCTAGTTGGGATTAAAAACATAAATTAGGTGTTCAGTGTCTAACAATGATACCAAAAAAACAGAAGGAAGCAACAAAATATCGGAGAGGCTCTCATTCTGGAATACAATACTGTCCAGTTTTCTGTGTTATCAACATATGAGTGATTTGTGGAATCATAATATTGTATTGAAAAGCTTTCATCCCTTAGAATCGAGTTTCAACTTTCTCATTTTACAGATGAGATACAGCAACATTAGCTGACTCACCCAAGATGGTATTCTTTGCTGTGTACTATTAATAAATGACGCTGTATCATACAATTAAGAATGACTGATTTTCACAACACTGGTCACTTTTTTGGTCATTTTCTTTCACGCTTGTTTTCAGCCTTAAAGACTACTTCAGATACAATTATGATGTCATAAGTGTTGGTAAAGCTTACACTTGGTAAAAAAGCAATCACAAAAACTTGAAGCACTGCTGTCACTTTTCTCCACGCATGTCACTTTTCTGCCGGGGAGACACAGCATTCTGGAACCACTGGCACGTCTCATTTTCATTTACAGAGATCATGACTAGAAATGAAAAATAGCTTTCCAAGGAAAAGCCAGTATCTAGCCATGCAATAAAAGTTTTCATTCAGTCAGTGGCTTATTAAACTAGTACATGCTTAACATTACAGAAGCCTGGCAATAGGGAAGGCACCCTGTGATACAGGCTAATAACTTCTCCAAACAGCCATTTTCATCTGTAAAAATAAACCAAAGAACAACAAAACCACCCTATCACAAAACAGATATGAATGATAAGTGGCCACTTAGCTCGTGCAGAACTTTTATTTCCATAGGACTATTTTACAGTAGCGTAATAAAGGTATCCCCCAAAATCAATTGAATATTAAAAATTCTCTGCAAATTTCTAAGCTTTATTTTGATTTACTAGGGGTGTCCATATATAAACCTTAAATGCTAAATGCAAAACTTCTACCATTTGCTCTCTTAAAAGGCCACCGGTTTCTTGAAACTTATTATCTGGTTTAAAACCCTAATAACGCTCAAGTCATAGTATACAAATCTCTTTCCAGTGCAAAAGAGGGAGACTGGATTTAATACTAGGCCACTTCTCCAGGGAATCTTGTCTTTTTATTGAACGAGGCATTGCAGAAACAAATGCTTGAATTGACTTTGTTTTTTAAACTATTTGAGCCCAAGCAAAATGCTATTTTAACACTGTTAAGAGGCCTAAAACACTAAATGAAGGAATACATTAAATCGATTAGTTGCATAAATATCGAAGAGCCTGCCAACTGTTGAAACCTTATTTAAAATAAAATCGATTCTAAATTCAAT